AGGAGTGGCCACTGCACTCCAGTCTGGGTGACAGAGTGAGACTCCAACTCAAAAAAAAAACAAAAACAAAAACAAACTCTCCCTATCCAAATGTTAATTTATCATTTCTATTTTAAATTTGAATATTTGAAATACAGTTTGCGGCCCGCTTTTATACGTGTGTGTGTGTGTATTATTATTATTATTTTGGTAGAAATTACTCCTTAAAATGACCAGGTGTGTGCTTGAGTAATTACACTGTTAATAGGAGGAAAATCCTTTTCCTGATAATTTCTTTTATCGTGTCTTTAGAGAACAAAATGTCATCAGTGGAATTGCAGCAGGAGCAGTTGTCCCAGTCAGATCCATCCCCATCACCAAACTCATGTAGTTCCTTTGAGCTAGTAGACATGGATGCAGGCAACTTGTATGAACCAGTTTCTCCACATTGGTTTTATTGTAAGATAATAGATTCTAAGGAGACATGGATTCCTTTCAATTCTGAGGATTCACAGCAACTGGAAGAGGCTTATGGCTCTGGTAGGTGCAAATGAGGATTTGTAGTAGACTAAAACTTTTATTTCTCTCAAACCATAATATAGCAGTCCTTGTAGTGAGTACTATTAAAACTAAATTTTAGATTTTTCCAGCTAAGTAATTTCTTATAGAATGTCTGCATTAGTACCCAGCCAATTGATAATATTTGAGAATTTCATCTGTATTTTGAAAACAGTATCTTATAATTTCTGCATAGTTACCCAATAGTATTTTCCTGTTATGACTTATGTTTTGTTTTTGTTTATGAGTGTATGTAGGGCAGGGTGTCACATAACAGAAGAATGAATTCTCTAACTTGCCACTTGTTTTTTCTTCTTTTATGAAACAAGAGTGGTGCTAGGTATACTAAATAATTATGATAACCATTAATTTACCTTTGGTGTCTCAAACAAAAAAATTCAGAAAAATCTTATACACACACACACACACACACACACACACTCTGGCACTACCATCTTTTCTCAGGAAAAGAACACAACTTTTTGGGTAGTATTATTTTTATGTTTCATTAAAATCAAGAATAGTTTTGATGGTTTGTAAAGTAATTAGTGAAAAAGATAGGAATTAAATTCCATTTCATTTACTGTTTAGTCAAGTATAAACTGTTCATTCGTGTGTTGCGTACATTATTTAAAGTGTAACTCAGAATTGTATTTCGGGAGATTTATTTTGAAATATGTACTTCTTTCCCCTTTCCAACCCTTGATAGGAAAAGATTGTAATGGGAGCATTGTCCCCACTGATGGAGGCAGATACGATGTTCATCTGGGGGAGAGGCTGCGGCATGCTGTGTATTGGGATGAACTAGCATCAGAAGTGAGACGATGTACATGGTTTTACAAGGGAGATAAAGACAATAAATATGTTCCCTACTCAGAGAGCTTCAGTCAAGTTTTAGAGGTATTCTTGTGACCCACTTTTACTCACCATTTTTTCCCCTTCTCTTATTTAATAGTCTTTGTCACTTATTTTGTGACGTTTCCAGAGTTTAGTTCTATCCGTATCACTTTGTAAAATGTAATAAATCTTTTTCTTTTACCAGTTGGTTTCAGGATACAGTAGTTTTATTCTTCAGAATTTAAAATATTGTGGAGAAGGGGGGACACACCTCATCAACAAGGGTACCTGCACAATGAATATTTGTATACCTAACCCTGAATTGTACCCCACAATTTTAAAATAAAAAATAAAATAAAATATTGTGGGAAAAGGCCGGGCATAGTGCCTTACAACCTGTTATCCTAGCATTTTGGGAGGCTGAGGCAGGAGGATTACTTGACTTGAGCCCAAGAACCCGAGAGCAACCTAGGCAACATAGTGAGAACTCACCTCTAAAAAAAAGTATTAAAAAAAGTAGCTGGGCCTTTTGGCACATAGCTGTAGTCCAGCTGCTCCGGAGGCTGAAGTGGGAGGAGTGCCTGAGACTAGGAGGTTGAGGCTGCGGTGAGCCGTGATCCATGCCATTGCACTCCAGCCTGGGTGACAGTGAGATTCCCAACTCAAACAAAACAAAACAAAATAGACACACACACACACACACACACACATAGACTATATTACACCTTTAATTTTTTTCCCCTAATGTTGGCTATTGTTAATACTTAAACTATGACCACAGTATTGATCTTTTTTGACTTTTATTTTTCTGGTTCTGAAAATGAAAATTTTTCTTTAAATTAGAGTAGAACATTAATATTAATGACAGAAACATATAAGCATGTGAAAAGTGATTATCTAGTCTATATACTGGTATTAGGAGTGGTTTTTTTTCTTTGTCCTATGCAATTATCTGTTGTAACTTTAAGTTAAAAACAGGCCAGGTGCGGTGACTCAAGCCTATAATCTAACACATTGGGAGGCAGAGGCAAGAGGATTGCCTGAGCCTAGCGGTTCGAGACCAGACTGGGCAACCTTGTCTCTATAATAAATCAAGAAAATTAGCTGGGTGTGGTGGTGCAGGCCTGTAGTTCCAACTATTTGGAAGGCTGAGGTAGAAGAATCATCTGAGCCCAGCAGGTTGAGACTGAGGTGGCCCTGAGTGTGCCACTGCACTCCAGCCTAGGCAACATAAGTGAGACTCCAACTCAAAAAATAAATAAATTTGATAAACTGGAGTAAGATAGTCTTACTGAAACTCATTAATCTAGTGGTGTTCTTGTGAGTAAGATAGGTTTTAATAGGAAAGCTATTAGATAAAGCTATTGAGATGTGTTTTCTTTTAAGGAAACTTATATGCTTGCTGTAACTCTGGATGAATGGAAAAAGAAACTGGAGTCTCCCAACAGAGAAATTATTATATTACATAATCCAAAGGTAAAATAAATTAAAGCATTTCTCTAATGTTGGGATTAAAGGATAATTGCATCATTGGGGAGAACTTCATAGGTTTTCTTTTTACTATGAACTCTGTGTAGGATAACCTTTGCCAAATTTTATATTGAATTCACAATTATGAAACTTAAAACTTGTAACCACTACTTTTATATATCCCTCTCAATGTATACAAAAGGATTTTTTTAGGGGAAATTATGCCACTGTAAATGAATAAATCATCGACACATTATATGTAGGATATTGTTGGAAGATCTGTTGTTCTAGTGTATTTTCAGGGTTCTCATTTATAGCTGTAGGAGTTGCATGTCAAAACTCCAGTTGAGATTTGACTATGTTTTGAAAGACATTCCTACTTTCAAAATGTATTATTATATAGAGATGACTGTAATGGAGATTGTCTTTATTGCTCTCATTCTTTCTATTTAAGCTCATGGTGCATTACCAGCCAGTTGTAGGGTCTGATGAATGGGGTTCAACACCCACTGAACAGGGTCGACCCAGAACAGTGAAGAGAGGAGTTGAGAACATCTCTGTTGACATTCACTGTGGTAATGCTAATCATTTATTTTTTTCTTATATTTTGATATATTTGTTTATTCCTTAAATTGTGACCTCTTCTATGGATTTGGATTATTTCAAGGCTTAAAAAATAATCCTTAATCAAATGGGCTTATTCCAAGTTAAGATTAGTATCATGTCATCTACTAAGAATCTTAATAGATGTACACATCTCTTTTAAAGTTGCCAATTATATATGGTGGGCGGATGAAATTTGACAGTACTATTCAGGAAGTCAGTAAGTAGAGATGAATTGATTTAGTTCTAATTCTAAGAAGTGTGATTCTTACTTGACTTGAAATTTATTTCTGGTAACTCCTGTCCTTGAAGATTATTTTTCAGTAGAACCTTGATGATTATTCATTACTCACTAGTTAGGGTCACTTATGGTTGGTCTTATAATACATTTTACTAGATTGTAAAATTCTTTTTTATCTTACAGTGGAGATGAATTGTCTCTTGGATGGTTTTATATTTACTGCAATTTATTTTATTTTATTTTTTTGTTGATTTATTGTAGAGTTGAGGTCTTGTCAAGTTGCCCAGGCTGGTCTCAAACCCGAGAGCTCGGGCAATCCTTTCACCTCGGCCTTCCAAAGTGGTGGAATTATAGGCATGAGCCACCACTCTTGGCCTATTTACTGCAATTTAAAAATAAGAGTTTACTTTGGGAGGCCAAGTCAGGAAGATTGCTTGAGTCCAGGAGTTTGAGACCAACCTAGGCAACATAGTAGATCTTGTCTCTACAAAAAATAAAAAACAAGCTGGGTGTGGTGGCAAGCACCTGTGGTTCCAGCTACTTGGAAAACTGAGTTGGCATCTCACTCTGTTGCCCAGGCTGGAGTGTAGTGGCATGTTCACGACCACTACAGCCTTGACCTGCTGGGCTCAGGTGATCCTTCTGCTTCAGCCTTCCAAGTAGCTGGAACTATAGACATGTGATGCCATGCCTGGCTATTTTTTTTTTATTTGTTGTAGAGATAAGGTCTTGCCAAGTTGCCCAAGCTGGTCTCAAAATTGTGGACTTGCCTGAGCCCGCGGGTTCGAGACCCACCTGGGAAACTTGGTGAGACCTCATCTGTACAATAAATAAAAAATTAGCTGGGCATGGTAGTGCATGCCTGTAGTTCCAGCTACTTGGAAGGCTGAGGTGGAAGGATCACCAGAGCCCAGCAGGTCGAGGCTGTGGTGGTCTGGAGCAGGCACTGCACTCCAGTCTGGGTGACAGAGTGAGACTCCAACTCAAAAAAAAAAGAAAAATTGTGGACTCATACAATCCTTTCACCTCAGCCTCCCAAAGTGCTTGGATTCTAGGTGTGAGCTACCATGCCTGGCCCAAAAAAATAAAAAAGAAATTTAAAAAATGAATTTATGGCTGAGCATGGTGGCTCATGCCTGTAATCCCAGTACTTTGGGAGGTAGAAGTGAAAGGATTGACTGAGTCCAGGGGTTCAAGTCTATCCTGGGCCACTTGGAAAGACCTTATCTCTACAATAAATCAAAAGTTAGCCAGTCGTGGTGGTGTGCGTCTGTGGTTCCAGCTACTTGGAGGCCTGAGGCGGAAGGATTGCCTGAGCTCAGTAGGTCAAGGCTGCAGTGACCGTGAGCATGCCACTACACTCCAGCCTGGGTGACAGAGTGAGACTCCAACTCAAAAAAAAAAAAAATAATAATAATAATAATCTTTTAAAACCTGAAAAAATTTTACAGGTTTATTTCAAGATAAATTAGAAGCAAAGCAAAATCAATGTATTTTGATTTTTGTTTTTTGAGTCAGAGTCTCACTCTGTCACCCAGGCTGAAATGCAGTGGCACTCTTACAGCTACCGTAGCCTTGACCTGCTGGACTCAGGCCATTTTTCTGCCTCAGCCTTTTAAATAGCTGAAACTATAGGTGCATGCTACAATGCCCAGCTAATTTTTTGATTTATTGTAGAGAGAGATCTTGCCAAGTTGTCCAATCTGGTCTTGAACCTCTGGGCTCAGGCAGTCCTCTTGCCTTGGCCTCCCAAAGTGCTAGGATTACAGGCATGAGCCACCATGTCTGGCCAAAATTATTTTTTAACTAAGTACTTAACTATAGAACTGTTTTATGTCTTTTAACATACCTGTTCGTATTTTAACTTGCTCATATTTATAACCTATTCATCGTGAATGTTTGATTTTAGAATACAGAATAATTTTTCTTTTTAATTTCGTTTATAGGAGAACCTTTACAAATAGATCACTTGGTTTTTGTAGTCCATGGGATTGGACCAGCTTGTGATCTCCGCTTTCGAAGCCTTGTGCAGTGTGGTAGGTTTGCAAAGCGTGCAAGATTAGGTTATTTAAAGAGTATATGAGTCAGTGCTCCTGTGAGCTGAGATAAAGCATAGTCATCAGTCTGTTGCCTTAGCTGCATAATAAGATTTAGAGAGTTCAAGACAGGTGGTAGTAAAGCCTCTCAGCTTAGACCTAAGGTGCTAGTAAATTCCTGAGACTAATAGTGTATATTCTTGACTAATAATTCTTGACTGAACAAGCCCTTAATCCTTATAAAATTGTTTCATGGCATAATAGTCCTATAATTGACCATTCCAAATTTAAAGGGATCCATAAAAATGATAGTGTTTAAATGAATAACAGAAGCTTCAATCATTTTTATAACATACTGTGATAAAACTCTTGATATCCTAGTTGGAAAATTTCAGTCATTAGTATAACTAAATTTTGAAAGGTAATGTCTTCTAAAACTTGAATAGTATTCACAGTGTAATTTTCCCAATTAAGGAGTTGTATTTACTAGCTAATGATTCTAAGCATAAACTAGAATTATATTCTGGAAGGTTAAAATTGATATAATATCAGTTTCAAAAAGCAGTGTATTTTTTTTAAATCTAAAATATTGGGTAGTTGTTTATAAGAACCAGAAAGTTAGGCTAGGAACCCGATTACAATACTGATTGACATATTGTCATGTGATTTTAAAAAATTGAAACAGTTTCCAGGACACACATGTTTTGAATTTAGCTTTTTTGATGAAATATTTTGTATGGTAAAAGCAAGTGCTATATAAAAGGAGCATCTTTTCCTATATTCACTCATAATTTCTCTTGAATACCACTTTATTATTTTTGACTCAAGTAATATGTGTTTTAAGCAAATGTAATTGAGAGTATAATAACATGATTTGTTGCATCCTGTTCCTGTTCTACAGATTTTTTGCTTCACTGTTGATGCATAAATTAATTTTCTTTTTCAGTTAATGATTTTCGCAGTGTTTCCTTGAACTTGCTGCAGACACATTTTAAGAAATCCCAAGAAAATCAGCAGATTGGGAGGGTAGAATTTCTTCCAGTCAACTGGCACAGACCTTTGCATTCTACTGGTGTAGATGTGTGAGTAATATCTTACATCTTTGAGTTGTTAGCTGTGATTGTAATATATTTTCTGACCATTATATGCTTAGGGATGTTTTTGCTATTGTGGAGTATATATTGAAAATTTCTTAAGCGATAACGTTATTAAATGTTGATTAGGCCCTTGGTTTAACTAGCCATGTTTAGACGTAGAGAGTTGTGTGTATTTTCTTCAGTTTTACTGGCTTACTAGTATTTACTGTTATAGCTTCATTATTTCTCTAGCATTAAAGCCTAACATTGCATTCTTCCCATAGAGTATAACCATTTCCATCTTCAGATGTCAAAAGTCAACCATATCCCAAGTTGTACAACATATTTTGTTGTTCCTTTTGTGATCATAGTTAAATATTTGTCCAAATCTAGGAAAAAAGGGAGGAAATCCCTAAATATTAAGTTATTAGCATTTATAACTTGAGCTATAGTTGGTACAATGACTTTTAAGTCATGTCTTTTATAGGGTATAGGCCCAGGAGTTTTGTTTGTAGATTTTATGGTAATGATAGAGGAGGTTGCCTTATACTGAGACTATCAAGCTATGGATTCTCCAAAAAGAAGTATGTTTGTAATACAGTTCTAGAACAGAACTAAGAGATACTTCTCTGGAAGATTAAGTAAGTTATCACATTGTTTCTGTGCTGGTCTTGGAAAGGGTTTTTTCTGATTCTGTATTTCTCAGTTCTTTTTTTTTGGAGTTCGAGTCTCACTCTGTCACCCAGGCTGGAGTGCAGTGGCACACTCACAGCAACTGCAGCCTTGACTACTGGGTTCAGGCATTCCTTCCACCTCAGCCTGCCAAGTAGCTGAAACTACAAGCGTGTGCTACCATGCCCGGCTAATTTTTTGATTTATTGTAGAGGTGAGGTCTTGTCAAGTTACCCAGGCTGGTCTCGAACCCCTGGACTCAGGCAGTCCTCTTGCCTCGGCCTCCTAAAGTGCTGGGATTACAGACCTGAGCCACTGAACCCTGCCCTCTCAGTTCTTAATATTCTATGATTTAAGTATACCGTATGCCAAACACTCCACTGTGGTGTTGCTTTTACTAGGTATGGAGTCCACATTCTTTAATATTTGAGCTGATGCTAAGAGGTTATTAAGAGGACATTGCTCTCTCTAAACTGCAGAAGCAGTTGAATATATTGAGGAATCTTTCTGGGAATTTTGAGAAAGCTTTACCTGAAAATTGATTTAGACTGTGCCAGCATAGTCTTTTAGTGCAGCGTATGAGTTCTGTTTGCCTTTGGCATCTGGCATTCTCACCTTTATGTGCTTTTAGAAATTTTGAGAGAGGGAGCTGATCCTTTTATCATTTGACTTATGATCAAAAACTCTTAAAGGCTGGGTGCAGTGGCTCATGCCTGTAATCCCAGCACTTTGGGAGGCTGAGACAGGAGAATTGCTTGAGCCCAGGAGTTTGAGACTAGCCTGAACAACACAGTGAGACTTTGTCTCTACACAAAAATTGACTGGGAGTGGAGGCATGTGCCTGTGTCCTCAGCCACTTGGGAGGCTGAGGCAGAAGGATCACTCGAGCCCAGGAGATCAAGGCTGTGATGAGCCATGCTCAAGCCGCTGCATTCTAGCCTAGGTGACTGAGACCCTGCTACTAAAAAAAAACTTAATGCTGAAAATTTATTAAGAGAATTTTGTACACAGTATTATATATAATGTATCTTCATTACCAATTATTCAGCCCCAACAAGCCTCAACACATGGTCGGTTCTGCCTCATCCGTATCTTCATACCTCTGTCTACTGCCTCTCTATTCACCATATTACTTTTAAATCAAATTTTAGACATCCTGCCCTTTTTTTTTTTTGAGTCAGAGTCTCTATTGCCCAGGCTGGAGAGCAGTGGCACGGTCATGGCCACCACAGCCTCAACCCGCTGAGCTCAGGCGATCCTTCTACTTCAGCCTTCCAAGTAATGTGCACTAGCACATCTAGCTAATTTTTTGAGTTATTGTAGAAACTAGGTCTCGCCAAGTTGCCCAGGCTGGTCTCGAAACCCTAGGCTCAGGCAGTCCTCTTGCATCTGCCTCCCAAAGTGCTAGGATTACAGGTGTGAGCCACCACACCCGACCATTTCATTTCTAACTATTTCAGTTTGTATCTTTTTTTCTGAGTTGGAGTCTCACTCTGCCATCCAGGCTGAAGTGCAGTGGCACGCTTATGGCACCGTAGCCTCGACCTGCTGGGCTCAGGCGATCCTTCAATCTCAGTCTTCCAAGTAGCTGAAATATAGATGTGTGCCATCATGCCCAGATAATTTTTTTTAAATTTTTTGAATTGGAGTCTCATTCTGTCTCCCAGGCTGGAGTGCAGTGGTACACTCATGGCCACCACAGCCTCGACCTGCTGGGCTCAGGTGATCTTCTGCCTCAGCCTTCCAAGTAGCTGGTACTATAGGCATGTGCCACCACGCCCAGCTAATTTTTGATTTATTGTAGAGATGAGGTCTCACCAAGTTGCTCAGGCTAGTCTCGAACCTGTGAGCTCACGCTATCCCCTCACCTCAGCCTCCCAAAGTACTGGGATTATAGGCGTAAGCCACTGCACCTGGCCAATTTTTTATTTATTTATTGTAGTCGAGGTCTCACCAAGTTGCCCAGGCTGGTCTTGAAGCCCTGGACTCAGGCAATCCTCTCGTCTCCACCTCACAAAGTGCTGGGATTACAGGCATGAGCCATTGCGCCTGGCCTTAGTTAGTATCTTAAAGGACTTTTTTTTAAGTTGAGATCTCACTCTGTTGCACAGGCTGGAGGAGTACAGTGGCATAACAGGTTACCATAGCCTCTAACTCCTGGGCTCAAGTGATCCTTCCACCTTGGTCTACTGAGTAGCTGGGACTACAGGTGTGCACCACTATGCCTGGCTATTTTTTATTTTAAAAAATTTTTTGTAGAGATGGGGTCTCACCGTGTCATCTAGGCTGGTTTCGAATTCCTGGGCTCAAATGATCCTCCCACCTTGGTTTTCCAGAGTGGTGGGATTACAGGCGTGAAGCACTGTGACTGACCTTAAAGGACTTTAAAAATATATAACCATAACACCATTATCACACCTAAAAAAAAATTCTTAATATCATCAAATATCTAGTCATTGTTCAAATTTCCAATTGTCTATTATCATGATTTTATATACATATTCATATAAATATAAGCATATGCACAAATGTACACATATACATATTTTGAATTGAGATCTAAATAAAGTCTATACCTTGCAATTAGTTGATATGTCTTTTAAGCCTCTCTTAATCTCTTGATTAAGTCTCTATCTACATCCATTTTTATCTTTTTTTTCTTTTTCTTTATTTTTATTTTTATTTTTTTTGAGTTGGAGTCTCACTCTGTCGCCCAGACTGGAGTGCATTGGCTGCTCCTGGCCACCACAGCCTCGACCTGCTGAGCTCCGGCGATCCTTCCACCTCAGCCTTCCAAGTAGCCGGAATTACAGGCATGCGCTACTATGCCCGGCTGATTTTT